GACTTTACAGGTGATGCAGCATAAGGAGATTGGTCTGTAATTTTCAACTAGGCTGGGGTCTCCCTTTTTGAAGATGGGGATGACTGTGGCTTGTGACCATAGGTTAGGCAAGGAGCTGGTCCTGAAAGATTTTTCAAAGATTATGCTTAGAGGTTCTGCTATGGCAGTGGATAGTAGGCACATATTCTGTCCGGTCCAATAGATAGCGATGGTTTTAGATTGCGTAGTGCTTTTTCAACATTGTCTTCTGTAAAATCGATATGTATTAGATCAGTGTAGTTTTCTGTGGTTCGGCTAGGAAATACTGGGCATGATCCATTGCTGTTTACAAATACTGAGCCAAAGAATGTGTTAAAGATGTTGGCTTAATGGTGTCATCGTTGCAGTCTTTACCATTAGGTAAACAAGGGATGTTGAATTTGAAGACAAAACTTTTTTGCCAGTTTCCTTACATTTCTCAATTCTAATCACTTTCTTTCCCCCCAGAAGCTAATTAATATTATTTCCTCTCCCCTAGGAAAAAGTTTCACAGAAAGATTTGACTATTACCTTTCTGGAACTATTTCTGATTTGATTTTTCTCTATTTTTCTTTCATGTTATTTTAACTGGAAAAATGCTGGGTGGGATGTAGAAAGATTTGACTGGCTGCTTATGTGCCATCAAATTATTGATGACTCTCAGAAACCACACAAATCACGGGTGTCAAGCTCACAGCATCATGTTGCTGTTACGTGACATATTGTGACTTTTTCCCCTTCACATTTCCTCCCCATTCCTGGGGGAAGCTTACTGCAAAATCCCACTTCCCCTTCCCATCCCACTAACCTGCTTTCCAGCTCCATTCTCCTTTGCAGGGCAATAAAAGAAGACCCAGCCAAACAGCTGGGACTCGGGAGGCAGAGAATAGATGGGGGTGGGGCCAGTCAGAGGTGGTATTTGCTGGTTCTCCGAACTAGTCAAAATTTCTGCTATCGGTTCTCCAGAACTGGTCAGAACCTGCTGAATACCACCTCTGAACTGGCAGTTGGAACAGTTCTTTTTGGTGGGGAGGGGGTGTAGACTCGGTGTGTGTTAATTACTGTATAAGAAACACTAATGATCTGATGGACATTTCAAAAAATCCTTTCTTAGTGAGCTCCTAGAAGCCAAGAGGAACATATGTGCTAAATTTCAAGTTTGTGGGCTTTACGGCTCTGGAGATTTCATGATGTGTGAGTGGTACTTGGCTTATATATATAGATTAAATGCTAAGAACTAACAGTTCTGGTCTTGTTTTAGTTATTATTTTTTCTTTTCCTCTCGTTGAATAGAATAAAATAACAGAGTTGTGAAGGACCTTGGAGGTCTCTTCTACTGATTAGTTGTTCTCACTATCAGGAAATGTCTAGGTTAGATCTCTCCTTGATAGGTTTCTATTTGTTATTTCTTGTCCTGCTCTCAATTGCTTTGAAGAATAGGTTGACCCCCCTTTTTTCTCTGTGACAGGTTCTCAAATATTGGAAAACTGCTAGCATGCCATCCTGTCTTTTACTTTATTTGTTATACATGCCCATTTTTAACCATTCATTGCATGTTTTAACCTCTGGTCCCCTAAGTATCTTTGTTGCTCTTCTATAGACTCTAATTTCTAGAGTCTCAACATCTTTTTTCTATCATGGTGACCAAAACTGGATGCAGTACTCCAAGTATAGTGTTATCAATACAGTACAAAACAGTACAAATGCTTCACATGAACTTGTTACTATATTCCTCCCGCTTTTTTGGCAGCTGCAAGACACTGCTGGCTCATGTTTAAGTAGCTATCCAGTAGGACTCCTAGAGCCTTCTTTGTACTGTTTTTTTATATTGTAAACTCAAAGACAGGAACATCTGAATGTTTCTGTTCCGTAAGCCATTCTGTAAGTTTTTCAAGCTAAAGAGTGATGTATAAATTATAAAAAAGCTACAATGGCTGATTATGAGATTTATATTTTAAAATAGAAATTTTCAGCAAGGAGACAGTTTACCTATTGTGCAAGAGCTCTCATAAATCTTTTAAAGAAAATCCTTTGTTTCCTTTTCTCTCCACCCCATTTTTAAACCATTGTGACTGAATAAACCAAAGATTTCACCAATTGGCCTAATAAAAATATTAGTTTAATGTGTCTTATGATCTGTTTTTTCTCTTTTCTGGTTTCCATTGCACCCTTACTCTCTGTTTCTGAGCAATCAGAAATAACCAGCTATTATTACTTAATCAGAATAATAATATTGTGCAACTTTTAATGTTTATCAGAACTCAATCCAATGATAATCAACTTCTGGGCTAATAGGGCTAATTATCTGGCCTAATTATCTGGCCTAATTATCTGGTGTCCAGACATTTCATTAGCAACTGTGCCTGGGATTTTCAAAGGTAAACTGATCTGCCATCTAGTGGCCATGTTAAAAAAGTTCTCAAATACAAGAACTGTATCACTTCAGCAGGAAGTGATAAGAGTTCTTGTATTTGAAACAAATCTAACTAATTGGAACATGTCATCAAAAATCTGGAAAGTCAGTTTATGTTTTGTTCATCCAGGTAAATTTGTAACTGGTCTATTCTGAAGAAGTTGCAAAGGAGCCATTTTTTATTGGCTGCTGTTTAATATTCTTTCAGGCAATGCTGCTATAGATTTTATATGGTGTTAATTAATTAAGAATTATTTTACTTCAGCATGACATACAGCTAGAAATCAGGCTTTATTAAGAGTTTAGATTTTTCTTGTTAAAGTTTTTGGGATGTGCAGATTATTTGAAATTACTAGCAATTGTGTGTCTTTGAGTTGAATGTTATACCCACTATGTAGCAGCACATGTTTATTTACCACTGATTGTTCAAGTTGTTTTAGCTAGCAATATCTTTCATCTTCTTTTAGCTAAACATTAGTTTTCCAATCTACA